CCTGTGAAGAAAGCACTTATCTCTTTAAGAGATAAAGATGGAAACAATGCGTTGCATCTAGCAGCAAAGTTGCCTGATTGGCCTTTTGAGTATGGTGTCCATGCAGCTTGGGCTATGGATCGCGAACAAAAGTGGTTTGAGGTTGTCAATAAACTCCAACTTCATATTTCTTTTCTCTAATTACCAAATGGGATATTATTCTATATTTCTTACATCATTTTATCTTACGGTATAAAATTAGAAAGAAAAAAAGAAAGAAAAAAAGAAAGAGATAAGTGGCGTGATTATTAAATCTCAGGGTGGAGTCGTAAGTGTAATTTGCAGTGATTTCTGCGCATCAGTAGTAATCGAATAATTTGTTTTTCTGCAAATGATTTGTTGTTTTTTCATTTTTTTTTCCTTTTTTCTTTTCACTTTAAATTTTAAGGCTAATACTGTTATGAAATGGCAGGAGATTAAGGCTTATCTTCCACGCTGGTGTCATGAAGCCAAAAATCATTATGGTGAAACTCCAGAAGAAGTTTTTAAAAAGGAACACCATGAATTGATAAAAGAAATGGAGAAATGGGGAAAGGCAACTTCTAAGTCTTATAGTCTCGCATCCGTTCTAATTGTTACTGTTATGTATGCAGCACTGTTTACAGTTCCTGGCGGGAACGATCAAAACACCGGAATTCCCATATTATTGCACAAAAAACTGTTCTTCTGGTTTCTAATTTGTGATGTAGTGTCCTTCATTACTGCATCAACTTCATTCTTGGCATTCCTAAGTGTACTCACAGTAACTTACACAAGAAGAGGTCCTCGCACTGCTATGCCCTACCAGATGTTGTTTGCTATTTTCAACCTCATCATTTCAATAGTAACGATGATCCTGGCCTTCATTTTCGCTCTTACGATCATGTTAGAAGAAAAGAAGTCGCAGCAGGTATTACCAGCTATTATGATATACCTACTTGTAGTTTCCTTCGTCATGTTATCTAGCTGGCTACTTCCCACACTTTCAACCCTTGGTGACATGATAATTTCTCGTTGGGGAATCTTTTGAGAGATGGTCTATGGACGGTATTTGAAGAGTGTTTGACGGTGTCTACTTTGTATTTATTTTTAAATTTGTAACTCGTATTCCCTGCCCCACTACACGAGATTTTGCTCTAAATTAATGTTATTTTTAATTTTGATGAATTTAAAAACAAATGAAAATAAGAATATAAACTTGATTGTTTCTAATAATTTCAA